GTTTACAGAGCATATGTTTTCCATACAGCAGTTCATACACACTTTGTTTTGTGACATTGATTGTAGCACTGACAATGTAGCAGCGCTCTTTCACTTAATCCCGGTGATTGCTTTTTCCCTGTGTCCTTTTTTGCTGTGTATTCCTGCCTTCTGAGCTGTCTCCCTGTGTAAATGCTGGCTTTCTAATCTCCCATGGTTGATAGTTCTAAGGAGTGTACCTGCCTAGTGTAAATTAGTCACTCTGTAGACCTGTCTGTTGTTTGGTGGAAGGCACAGAAGTGAGTTCAGTTCTGTGCCCAAAGGGTGACTAGGAGCCTGAGTTTCAGGGGATTCACTAGTCTCTATCAGACCAGTAAGCCTGGTCTTTTTTTTTTTTTTTTTTTTTTTCAATTTTTAGGTTTGTTCCACATTTTTCTCCCACTCTATGCAGGATCTCCAATTTTGATCCCTTTCTGAGTGGTTGTCAGTGGTAGCCAGGCATCTGATTCTTCTGCTCTCAGGGTCATGTAGAATGAGGTTCACGTGGTCCACTAGTCCCTTGGACTAATTGTTTACGTGCATGTTTGATTTTCCTCACTCTTCTTTGCCCTAGACGAGAAGAGACCAATTGCATCTTAGATGGCTGCTCGCAAATTTTAAGCCCCTAGTTGCCATTCACCAAAGTAGGATGTAGAACAAAGTAGGATATTTTTGTGTAGTCTGTTATGCCAGTTGAGCTTGATGACCCCCAAACAACCATGATCCTGAGCTTGTAGGCCCAGCAACTTACTTCCTCAAGGTATCTGGCTGTATCCACCATCAGTGCAAATGTCATCATCAGTGCAAATGCACCATCAGTGCAAATGTCATCACAGTGAAAAACACAAATAACTTCTCTGAATGACTTGAAAGTATTTTTCACTTCACAGACCTCTGAAAAGGTATGAGTCCCACAAAGGTCTCTAGATAACACTTTGAGAATTGCTATTCTAGAGTTATCTACCTTCCAGTGAGTTTGCAAGGAACATTTAAATTAAAGTCTGCGGGTAAATCCAGCATTTAGGTTAAGTAACTAACGATTGGCAAAAGCTATTGACTGTCGAGAATAGTGTCATACTGTGGTTTAGCATGAATTTATTGCTGAAGTTTTATCTAACTAAAAGTGATCTATTTTTGTATTTACTGTTTAGTAAGTACTATTTATTGATCTACTTAATTATTTAGGGCTAGCTAAATAATGCAGTGGGAGAAACTGAAATGACCAGTGTAGAAAGGGAGACTGACAGTTTAAATACAAGTGATAAAATCATGGTTCTAACCTGTTTTTCAGACAAAGATACCACCTGAATGATATAGTTATTGCCATACTCCCCCATATAGCCACAAAATACAAATTAACTTAGTTTTCAGCTTTTCTGAGGTTTTCTCTTTCATGAGAAACCTGTTTTGTAGTGGCAGTAATAATCACAAAAATCGTTCCACAAATTACTTCTTCATTTTTCTTCCAAATATATGATCAACTCATTGGTTTGTTTTGGGGTAAACCATTACCATATATTAATATTTGTGCCTTACTTAAGGAGCTGTGGTGGCGTAGTTCCTAAGGCACTTGACTGCTAACCAGAAGGCTGGCTGTTCAAACCCACCAGACACACTCCTCGGAAGGAAGACTTGGCAGTCTACTTCCGTAGAAATACCGCTTCGGGAATCCAATGAGTGGTTGCCAAGATCAGAATCTATGGCGGTGAATTTTTTTGAGTTTTAAGGAGCTCTGGTGGTGTAGTGCTTAAGGCATTTGGCTGCTAACCAGAAGGTTGGTGGTTCAAACCCGCCAGCCACTCTGCAGAAGGAAAACTGGAAGTTGTATCACCTTGACCTGATACTGGATTTCTTTTCCTCACATACTTACCTTTTGTGAATCACACTGTAACACAGTCTCTCTGTGGTTTGGGAAGGCAGACTTTGGGTTAAAATTGGTTTTCTTCACTGAGAAATTTGTCTCTGACATATCAGAAGATGAGGCAATCTACTTCTGTAAAGATTTGCCACCTTGGAAACCCAAAAGGGAGGTTGCTGTGAGTCGGAATCGACTCCATGGCAGTGAGTTTGGTTTAGTTTTTGGTTTATCTTTTGAAATTTTTTTTTTAATAGCTTAGAACATGACCTTCTTAGACCTCTTTACTTCTAACAGCAGCACTAAACTAAAACAAAACAAAACAAACACAAAAAAACTAATCTCACTGCCATCAAATCAGTCCTGACTCATAGTGACCCCTCCTTGGGTTTCTGAGGCAGTATTGCTATGAAACTAGATTGCCCAACCTTCCTTCCAATGAGTGCCTAGTGGATATGAACCAGCAGCCTTCTGGTTAGCATTCAAATGCCTTAGGCACTGTGCCACCAGCGCTTCTAGCTGGTGGCTTTTATGAGCCACTTACAGAAAGAAACACACTTTTTATTTCTTTTTCATGTGTTGTTTTATTGTTATTGCTGATTATGTTTTGAATATCCTAAATATGATTTTTTTCCTTTATTAAAATTTTATTGGCTTATAACTCAATATAGAAAAATACACAAATCGTAAGTATAAATCTTGATGTAATTTTCTAGGTAACTACCTCCTGGATCAAGAAATTAAATATTACCAGCACCCTAGAATACCATCTCATCTCTTCCCCTTGTCACTATGTCCTTCCCAGCTCTCCTGATTTCTAACATCATAGGTTTATTTTGCCTATTTTTGAAATTTCTACAACTGGAATCATATAGTATGTATTGCTTTGTGTATGGCTTCTTTTCAGTCAACATTGTAGTTTTGAGATTTATTTACAACACTCAGTATTCATTCCTTTCTTTTCATTGCTGTGTAGTACTCAATATGTGAAGAATATGCCATGATATTTTTTATCCATTCTAGTGTGGAAGCCATTTGGGTAGATAAACATATATATATATGCGTATCTGTTAGGTGTGTACTTACGGGTGTGCTTATTGCATCGTGGAGCATATTTATATTTAGCTCTTGTAGATATTGCATTAGACGACGTGTAGCATTGGGGAAGTCAACTGCGAAGGAACTGTTTCAAGTGCTGAGGAGCAAGGATATCTCCTTGAGGACTAAGGTGCGCCTGACACAAGCCATGATATTTCCAATC